AACCCTCCTTTCGCTAACACTTCGGTTAACTCTTTATATATTTTATAAGCATCTTCTAGGTTGTCCGCCCCGGTCATCACATCATCCATGTAAAAATCATTTAAAATAATTTTAGCAATTCCTGGCTTATTCTGACACTCCTTATAGGCTAATTCTTGCAGTGACCGCACAGCTAAATATGGAGCACATGCGGTGCCAAAGGTTACGGTAAGTAATTCAAACTCTTGAAGCTCCTTTTCAGGACTATGTCTCCAAAGAATCCTCTGAAATGGGGTATCTTCCCGATTTACCAACACTTGGCGGTACATTTTCACCACATCCGCCACCAAACATATTTTATATTGTCTCCAGCGCATAATTATGTGACGTAGTTCGGCTTGCAGTGGCGGCCCAATCAATAAATCATCATTCAATGACTTCCCATTGCTTCCCTTACAGGAGGCATCAAACACTACTCGGACCTTGGTAGTATCCTTATCTTCCCGGACTACTGCGTGGTGTGGTAAGTAAATAGCTGTTTCCTTAAATTTATCCTTCTCTGTAACTTTTACCATATGATTTAAGTTTAAATACTCCCTTATAACTTGTGTGTAATCCTCTTTTAACTTAATGTTCTTTTGCAATTTTAATTCTAAATTTCTCAATCTTTTTTCAGCTATTTTCCTGAACTCACCACGCATGCAGTCCGGATTGGCCATACGAAACGGCAGTCGTACGATGAACCGACCGTCTCCATCCCGTTTCGTAGTATCCTCAAATAATTTCTCACATTTAATTTCATCATCTGTGAGCATTTTTTTTTGTTACAGGTGGTTCGGCTTCGAGTTCCCAAAACCTCTTCAGCATATTGTCCACTTCCAGATACGAATGCATCACAGTTATGTGAGAATGGATATTTGACGTGCTATCTACCTCACAGACCCCAGATATTATCCAACCGAAAGCAGTATCCTGCGCCAAGAGAGATCCGTTGAGGTTTCTTTTAATGCCTTCCTGAATAATTTGACTGTATATCTCCGCACCTAATAAGATGTCAATCTTATTAGGCGTATGATACTCAGGGTCAGCCAGATCATCCAGAGTCAGGTTTTCCCATCTTACCCTAGTTGTCTTCGCAACTGGGAGAAGAGACGTAACCGACTTCAGGACATGTGCATTAACCTTAACTTGAAACCTAGGATCAACTCTCGACCTTAAATTAATTTTCACTGTGGACTTGGAAGTCACACTTTTATCTCCACCTACACCAACTACGGTATTTTTGGCCGCACGCCTTTTTAAACCTAATTGCTGCACCATAGCCTCGGTAATAAAAGAACCTTGCGACCCCTGATCTAATAAGGCCCTAACTGGGAAATAAGTACCGTCTCTCGACTCAGCTTGCACCACAGCTGTAGTTAATAAAACCATTTTAGAACAGTTCCCTGTCGAAAAACAAGACACAAGTTGCTTATCTAAACTTTCTGCTTGCACAGATAACTTATTACTGCTTGCAGCAGTATCCTCCTCAGTTGACCTTCGACTGGTCGACGAGGTTGTTTGATGAATCGTCTCAACTTCAGCACTACCAGAACCAGAATCACCACTGGGATGTAATAAAGAATGATGTCGACGTTTACACACTTGGCATCGGACAATATTTTTACACATTTTAGCGGAATGGTTGCTATTTAAACAAATAAAACATAAGTTTTTATCTAACACGAACTCACGTCGTTTCTCATTACTTTCTTTTCCGAATTTTTTGCACGCAGTTATTTTATGATCCGCACTGCAATACGCACACGATATAATCGGTTTATTTTTAACAACATGAAAAGATTTAGTAAATTTTTTCTCACTGTGATGTACCTTAGAATCGATATTTTCTAGACCTCTAAAACGCCCTATTAAAAAATTGGAAAATTGTTGAAACGTGGGTAATTCGTCACTTGGATCTGAAGATACCTTTAACTCCCATGCCTTTCGCGTATCCTTATCTAATTTAGCGCTTATAATGTGGATAATCAGGATATCCCAAGATGAAACATCCACACCAATATTTTTTATTGAGTCTAAACAATCTGAAGTTGTACTAATTAAGTTTTTAATTTCAGATGCTGATTCAGACGACAAACTTTTTTTGACTTAGTAGACGCTTCAAGATGCCGTTCGCCAAAAACCTTTTATTATTATACATACTATCTAATTTCTCCCACGCAACTTGATAACTATCCGACGTCACCTTAATGTTGCGTAATAGTTGCTCGGCTTCCCCGGTTAAATGTCCCCTTAAATAATAAAATCTTTGGGCATCATCCAGTGACTTGTTTTCATGCACAAGCCCTAAAAACAAATCTCTGAATGTCTGCCACTCTGTGTACTTACCGGAAAAGGTAGGTATTTTTATTTCAGGCAACTTGAAACGTCTTTCTGAACTCTCACATTGACTATTTGAACTTGACTTTACTTCTGACTCAAGTGTTTTTAATTTATACAACATTTCTTTTAACTCAGTCTTGAATTGAACATATAATTCTTCTACATCATCATACACACTATTTTTGTGATAATCCGAACTATACAAATCAGTTCGCTTAACCTGACTAATAATTTTAGTATGAGTGTCTGTAAATAAAGTCCACTGTTGTTCCAAGTTATCTAGCCTTGTTTCAATATAAGCAACCGTCAAACGATCCTTAGGAGACTTTTTAAAATTAGTCTTAACTTTTAGCATTTTAGCCCTTATGTCTTCCTGCAGGTCATTAAACGACTCCATTTTAAATTTTTTAATTTGACAATTTAATCACTTATAATTCTTATCAATATAGAACAGAACAGTAATTTATTCTAATTGACAAAGTTAAACTCTAAACAACTGAATTATTTTTCTAAGTCAATATTTTTACAATCCTATTTTTTTCTAAGTCCAAGAAACAGATGAGCAAAATTTTACAAGTCTTTTTAACTTTAAATTCTAACTAAAATCGGGCGTGGATTCGCCGTCTCAACCAATATTTACTTAAAACTATTACAAGTCCTAAATTATTGAAATTATTCTAAGTTACTTCACTATCTTAAATTTTTCTAAGTTCCACTAATCTTTAAAATAAGGTTTAATTTTCTAGTTAATTTCTTTTATTATAATATTTAAAAATGTACTCACAATTTATCACCGCACACACTCACTCACTTGTCTTCGCTATAATGCACCTGTGGCGCCCTCTAGCGCTCCGCAACCTCCACCGCTGCTGCTTGCCGCTTCCCGTCCGTCGCTCCTCCGGGTTGTAGACACCCAGCTCCTCCACTGCCTTGGCGCCGCTCGTGGCGCCTCGCTGAGGGGATGTTCTGGACAGCAATCCACTGCCAGTAGTGACACGGGTGGTACTACTGTACCACTGACGCAGCAATAACACAAAAAACACGCCTAGCCTATCCGGTTCGAAGGACCATGAATAAACTTCCGGCAGGCTACTTATGCAAGAAATAAAACACTTAGTACAATATAAACGACTATTTACTCGTAAAACGATTCATACAAAAATAATAATTTTTAAATGCCTTATAATTTTCAGCCTAGCCAAACCACAGCGCGATTCAAAAAGTTGCATAAATCTAACAACGCCATCTAGTCGTCACCGAGGAACAATAAACTAAATATAATAATAACTGAAAATAATTATCTACAGCTTAACAATTTACATTTTTATAATATGTTTATTGGTGTGTATGTTTAATCCGGACAAGTATATAATATATTGTATACTTCTACATATATTATACACACACTCTTTTATACTACATACTTCTAAGATATATTTTGTTACTGCCCCGGGCTACCCTGACTATAGTCGACTGCACTAGGGCCCATGGTAGTACAGCTCGACGAGTAGACAAGGGGAGGGTCAAAAGACCTGTGGAATATTAAGCTATAGCGACTAACAAAGAACCAAACAAAACTTACCGTTCGTCGTCGTGGTAGGGTTAACCATAGGAAGATTCAGGCGGAAATGTTGGTGTGTGTGTGAGTCATGATTAGTACGTGTTCAATTGTGTAACCTGACATCCCCGCTGGTTGCAAAACAGCAGATCCAAAGGCTTCGCCTTTCTTCAAATATGGGATCCATATAAAGGGCTTTCAGCTACAGAGAACACCTCAGCTTCTAGGAAACTACGCTCGCCTATCACTTATTATTTATTGTCCAATTAATTGTCTTTAAGTTAAAACCATCAAGTCCATCGACGTTAATTAGGGACACGCGGTACAACTCAAGGACTGTGGGTCAAAGTTCAATGTATAACACCGCGTCGATTGAATTAACTGCATAAAGGGTCCCTTAATCATTACAAATTCCTAGCCGTCCTCTGTCATTTAACGCGATCAAAATAGACACTAAATTCGAGGCGGTCTAGGTTATATTCTATATTCAATATTAGTTTCAAAATGGCGTGCTCTATTAACACAAGTCTTCAATATAATACAAGCGACCCGGGCTTCTCACAATAAACTAAAGAATTTAGCCTAGTTATCAATTCGCCCACTAATATAAGATAACTTAAGACCGTACTTTCGACGCGCAATTATATTACTGTTGCGCGGCTAAGTTGACATCTCATCTCATGGCACTAACGCCATCTAGTGTCGGGTAACAGAGCGAGGAGAGAGCTTTCCAGAAAATGACATGACAATTTTTTAAACGACAGCGCCATCTGTTGTCGAAACGAGGAACTAAGCTTCTAAAAGCCCGACACTTGAACTTTCGATGCTTAGTCGATTGGCGCGCGCATTTACTTGAATGTTCTGGATTTTTCGGTGCTAAGGTGTATTTATAGGCGCTGTAAGGTGCGATCGGGGAAGTATTGGATTTGGTGAGACAAGCGAAGCTTCGGAGCGAGATAAAGTGAATCAGTGTGATTAATTATTGGTGTTTTTAACTTTAATTAGTGTAAAGTGAATTAAAGTGTTAATTTAGGTAATTCTATCGGCAATTTTTATTGTCACGAACCTCAAGCTCGTAACATTACTCTAGAGAGCCCAACTGGGGAACGTCGCGCATCGGCACGGGCGCCGCGCGACGAGGCGCACAGCCTCGCGACGGACCGCCCGGCTTCGCCGCCGTCTTTCTTCCTTCGCGGTTCGATGCAAACAGGGCGCTACTGACTGCGCGCACGATGCAGACAGCCGCTAAGTCCCCTCGCCCCGCCAAACCTCTCTCCACCCCTCTAGAAGTATATAATATAAATGGAACTATATTATACTTTACACTGTACGTTTCACAAGGAGTTTTCTTCCGCGTAGGACCTCTCTGCGGAATAATTTACCACCGGTGATTTTTCCGGACTGATACAACCTGGAGACCTTCAAGAAAAGCGCTTACTCTTTTCTAAAAGGCCGGAAACGCACCTGCAATTCCCCTGGTGTTATGGTTGATCATGGGCGGCGGTATTCACTTAACATCAGGTGAGCCGCATGTTCGTTTGCCGCCTCTTCTTTAAAAAAACTTTACTTCAGAAAACTCGACATAAAAATAAACAAATAAAATTTTAATTAAGTAATATTTGTAAATTTTATGTGGATTGATTACCTCTGCCTGGAATTATCGACAGCGGCGGGTGGCGGCCGGCGGTGACGTTCATCAAAGACGGGGCGCGAGTGCGCGCGCATCTTACCTACACTATTGGCACACTGAGGTCGTGATCTCGTCTCATCACAGCTGTTATGGTCGAACACTAAATTATCACTATGTCTACTTGACGACCACGAAGATGTTGTTCATAATGTCCACCTTGTACCTCTATACATTTGCTACACCGGTTTATAATGTCTGAAAGCACACGTTGCATTTAACAGACATTTCGGACTTTATTTTTCAAAGGCTGCGACTACATGCATACGCATTTCTGCCTCCGTATCGCATGTTTTTTTAGAATATATTCTGCTTAATCGTACCCCAGAGATAAAAATCTAAAGGTGTGAAATCAGGTGATCGTGCCGGCCAGATGACCGGTCCACCGTGGCCAATCCATCTTTCATCGGATTTAGTATCCAAAAAACTTCTTATACAACGGGAGAAATGCGGTCGTGCGCCATCGTTTTGAAACCACATGCAACAAACGAGGTCTTGATTAATTTTGTCAAGTTCAATGCTTAGTTCTTCTCGCAAAAACCATCTGTAGTTTTCACCGCTCATCATTGTGTGGTCATGAAAATACGGCCCAATAATTGTGTCACCAATAATTCCCTCACACATTGAATTTCCATCGGTATTAAAAGTGGCTTGGTTTATACGAATGCAGATTTGTCGTTGACCATACGTACCTAGGCTATACTAAAAGTAACGAGAATGGAATGTTTCCACTGTTCCTGTCATATTAAAATCTTTTTTAATTGTAAACTCCTTGGTTTTAAAAATCGAATACCATTTATTTATTTAAAAAAAGATTGTCGGTCTTGTCACAAGGTTTTGTCAAACTTGTTTAGTCGTTGAGAAAATGGAATTGACTCGACAAAATTCAAGAGCGATGATTTATTATGATTTTCGAAGTGGTTTAACAAAAACAGTGTGTTGACCGGATGATTTCCGCATTTGGTGATGAAGCCCCATCCAAAACCACAATTTATCGCTGGTTTGCTGAATTTCAACGTGGACGTGTCAAGCTCAGTGATGATCCCCGTCAAGGTCGTCCAAAAACTGCAGTAACCCAAGAAAACGTTGATGCTGTGCGTAAGCTGATTGAGGAAGATCGACATGTGACATACCGCGAAATTCAGGCAACTTTAGACATTGGCATGAGTCAAATACAAATAATCTTGCATGAACAATTAGGTGTAAAAAAAGTTGTTTTCCCGATGGATACCGCATTCGCTCTGTGAAGAGCAAAAAGCGGCTCGCGTTACTTGGTGTGTCAGAACACTCGAAAGACTCCACGCAGAATCCTCAAAAGCTGTATCATCATCGTATCAGGTGACGAATCCTGGATATACGCATATGAACCCGAAACAAAAAACCAGTCACGAGTTTGGGTGTTCGAAAATGAGTTAAAGCCAACAAAAAATGTTTAATGAACGGTTAATGCAGAATGGTATGCTAGCATTTGTTTGCCACAGGTCGTTTCTGAACTCCGTAAAGAGAACTGCCACCGCCGCATCATCCTCCATCACGACAATGCTAGTGCTCACACCGCACAAAGAACAAAAGAGTTTTTAGAGCAAGAAAACATAGAATTATTAGACCATCCGCCGTACAGCCTCGACCTAAGCCCTAATGATTTATATACTTTCCCTAAAATAAAGAATAAATTGCGTGGACAGCGATTTTCATCGCCTGAAGAAGTTGTGAACGCCTACAAAACGGCCGTTTTGGAGACCCCAACTTCCGAATAGAATGGTTGCTTCAATGATTGGTTCCATCGTATGGAAAAATGTGTCAAATTTCGCGGAGAATACTTCGAAAAGCAATAAATACATTTTTAAATAGTAATGTTGTGTCACTTCCTTGATTCCCGAAATTTTCAGTGCCGCCCTCGTATTCATTATAAGTGTTAAATACACCTGTTCTAATAAAAGAGCATTTATCCGTTAAAAGTACGCGGTTCAAAAAATCAGAATCTCCTTCAAACTTATTGAGTAACCATCTACAGTAATCCATTCTCGGCTCGTAGTCGTTGGGATGAGGACACTGAACTCGACGGTAATAATACGGGTGCTGGCCATCATCTTTGAAGGCTCTCCAAACGCGCATATGGTTCACACCTAGTTCACGTGCCACCGAGCGCGTGCTCCGCACCGCATCTTCCTCAAACATGTCGAGAATGTGCTCCTCGATGTCGTCGTCGTACATGCTCGGTCTTCCTGAATCTGTACGTTGTTGATCACGGCCATGCATACTGCCAGTATTGTACATACGAATGTGAAGTCGTTGGAACGTCTTCGCCGACGGTAATTGTATATTTCGTGGAGTAGCAAAGCGCTCCTCGTAAAGTCTTCGTGCTGCTACATTATTGCTGTCACATTTCCCGAGACACATCAACATATTAAAATATTCCTCGTTCGAATAATATTAATTTCGCAATATAAAACACAAACTGTCAATATCAGTGCTAACGCGCTACTGGTGCTTGTTGTGCATGGACGTGGCAAAGCTATTGTACTGTATAACATAATTTTGATATTTTCTAAATCGATAAAAAATGTGATTTTTTATGTTATTTTTTAATAATAGTCATTATTTATTTATTTACTTCAGACAGCGTCCGTAAGCGTTATTAAGAAATTAAATTATAGCTAGGATTATTAAAAATACATTAAAACATTTTTATAACAAGCAACATTTAAAAAAATGTGATATAAATCCACACAACAACAAATACTTTAACTGTTATGCTGCTGTGTTTTTCAAAATCTTATAATCTTATTATTAAGCATTTTTTATCGACCGACGATAACCAATACTTATTTTTATTTCTATTTTTGACCACTGAATTGTGACAAAATTTTTTGTTTATTATAAAACTTCCATGTTTTAAATATTATTGCTAAATATTAGCACAGAATAAATAATAGATACGACGACCACGAAGATGTTGTTCAACATGTCCATCTTGTACCTCTACACATTTGCGACACCGACTTATAAATATGTTTATCGACCGACGATAACCAATACTTATTTTTATTTCTATTTTTGACCACTGAATTGTGACAAAATTTTATGTTCATAAAACTTCCCATGTATTTAAATATTACTACTAAATATTAGCACAATAGAATAAATAATAGATATTGGATCAAAATTAGTTAGTCGGCATAAAGTGGACGCTACTTTTTATCACTCGAAGAGTGGAGTTTTTTGGGTTTTTCCTAGTACCTAGTCGACTTTCGGTTTTGAGTTTAAAGAGCGCGCAAAACGCCGCGTATATTTTACCTATTAATTTTGTTTTGTTTATTATATTCTAGCAATAAACAACAATATGAATTTATTTAAAAAATGAAATTCAATATGAAGTATATAATATATAGAAGTATATAATAAACAGAAGTATATAATATATCGAAGTATATAATATATTAAAGTATATAATATATATAGAAGTATTTAATATATAAGAAGTATGTAATATCAATAAGAAGTATATTTATTTTATAGAATAGATATAAGAAGTATATTTTATTAATATATTTCACCAGACAGTAGTCAGATATACCCAAAAGGGAGGTGACCTGGACGTCATACCTGTTTGTTCGGTAGTCAGCAGAAGATCTTAATAATTGGCTATGTGACCGTCTACATCGGGTACCCTAGTCGCTTCCTTTACCAGCTGGATAAGACCTAGCTTCACGGCGAAATTCTACGCTTCTCTTTCAGTATGGTTGGTTTTCTGGTATGGAAAAAGCCAGTCTTGGTGACAGTCGTTAAAGTCCCCAGAAAAACCAGCTGTGCAGTAGTATACCGATTTAGGGCCACATCAGCAGCCTCACTAAGGTGATCAAATAATCCAGTTGTCTTCTGGTTGTGATAAGAGTGAATAAGTATGGAGAATGGCAGTTGAACGAGATTATTAGCAACCAAACAAGATCTGGAGACTGGGGATACACGGGACACGGGTAGTGTTGGCGACGCGCCTATAAGAATATTTCAATTTATTAAGTTAACCGATTACGAATAGCTTCTAAAAAGCAAATTATCAAGTAACAATATTCCGATAAGAAAATGCTTAGTTGAATCTTAAAGAAATATCGAATTAATGATATGAAGGTCTTGGGTTCGACTCCCAGGCCGGAATAGTTTATCGTTTTCTTAGTAATATCTCTTAATAAATTCATATAGGGAATTTTTAAGATATAAATTATGTTACCGGATTTGTTCCCCGGTTGAAATCATCTTTCCAATGATGTAAATATAAAGGAATATTAAAATAAAGTTAGAGATCGGATTTGTTCCCCCGGTCGAGATGATCTCTTTGTGAGTAAGTAGAATTAATGGAAATTAATTGCATAAGTATTGTCTTATGTGGGTTTGATATGTTTTGTATGAAAACAAATGCCTATTTTCTATGATTGATTTATGAAAACATTCACTTATATTGTTATCTGATAAGAGATATGATAACTGATAAGAATCTGATTAGAAATAGTTGTCAACGTTTGAGAATTGTGTAGAAGCATTTATTCACCTAGTATTGTTGATATTGGTGTATACTAGACTTTCCATTTTTACTGATAGTCGATAGCCGTGCAAAAGTTAGTTGTTCAAATAGTGTGAGTTCATAGACGCACGCTAGCCACGTACTAGGCCAAATATGTAGAAATTTAAATATTTGCAATTTCAGCAATTTATGTAAAAATGACTTGTAAAACATTTCAGATTGATTGTACGTGTAAAAAAAGTGAATTCTGTGTTATTTTTATGTGAAAATTCCTGTGAATAAGTGAAATAATGATAGTTTTGTATAAGAAATTTAAAAGTGTTTTAATAGTGAAATGTATAGAGAAAATGTAAATTAAACTATTGTATTAGTTAAGATATGTATAATTTCAAGTGGAAAACATTGTTTTAACTTTCTATGTTAAATATTTAAGAAATTTCAACTTCCAACGCGTGAGTAAAATAGGCATATTTTGTTAAATAAATAAAAGGTTTTTTGTGATATGAAAATGTAATGTATATCGTAGTATAGATATTTTTTTGCGCTATCTATACAAGTAAATTGTGTTAATGTATGTCTTATGCAAATAAAGTTATTGAGTAAACCGTGAGAGAGTGATAGAACAAATTCATGTAATTGAGTTGCGCAAGCGCGCGAATGGCGCGGCTCACTTTCGCGTATAGCTCTGGGGTAGCTCAGTAAACGGGTTTTCTTGCAATTCGTTGATGAGTCTCGTCCGGACCGCGCCAACGAGCGGTCACGTCCGCCGGTCGTCGACTCCCGCCCGGGTGGGAGAAGTACAGCGCGTCGCTTCGCAGTGGGTGCGCGCGCTGTGGGGCCAACTCGGCTTGCGTCGAGCCTTGAGGACGCCCCTGACCCCGCCCGGGATGAAGATTACCCAACGCTGCGCATCACCTATACGCTGGGAAGCGAACTCCGAAGGCCCGGCGCGCCCAAGTGCGCGCGCCTGTTGGTGACTTCGGCTCCGCGTCGAGGTACTCTCCGCGGGACCTTGAGGTTGCTGACCCTTCGGCAGATTCCCTTC